GAACCACAGACCATTAATAATCTCAAAGGGAGGGGGCACATGACAAAAAAAAGGTATTAAAAACAGAAGGATTTTTTTCCTCCTAGTGTAAGCATTATTAAAAGCACCACTTTTATATATTACAAACATTCGTATTATCTGTGTTATAATATGGTGTCTAGACATAATGCACAGAGTTAAAATTATTTCAACTCTCTGGAAACCAAGAGCATCCTTGTTAAAGTGCAAAATGAGATTTTGCCTACTTGCAACTCCTTGTTCTCACACTTGAACTGTCTGTCACAGCATGAAAACATTCACCAGATACCTACTTCCCTGCTGAAAGAATGCAAATGGAACTGAAAGAGTTACTGACAATTTATACAGTATCCCATATCCCATTAGAGTATTATAACTATAGGCAAAGAAAATATTTTAACTCTGAGGGCAGATGGGGCAACAATGTTTTAAATAATTGTTGACTTCAATGAGTAGTGCAGAAAATGTCAAAAGACTATAACTTAACAGGTTGAGAAGTGATTCAAGATGCTATATGAACCTAATTATAGAAGTCTTTGTCTTATTTGCTTAGTAAAGGTTAATGAGAATTCCACTGAAAAAAACATCTCTGTGTTTTGACCAAGTATTTTTCATAAAAACATAAATAAAAAAGTATTTTAATCTAGTCCTTTTCATTAACTTCTTTAACAAATAGCTTTATTTGATGTATACTTTTACATGTTATAAAATTTACTCATTTTTAACGTGTTAAATTACTTTTAGTAAATTTACAATTGTGCTACCATTGCCACAATTGTAAATTTACTAAAACGTTCTAATTTTAGGACAGTTCTAACATCACAAACCTATTAACTCTTGATCTAATATATTTCCATAAATTTATGGAAGCCCCTGGTACCTGAAGTTAATATACTATATTTCAAGCCACGCAAATCTCTGCAACTGAGCAGGAAAAGTGCAACCTAACCTCACTTTCAATGACCTTTATAACCAATCCTCTACTCTGGCACTGGGAAGAAAATGTTCAGGTGCTTTCTCTGAAAGTTAAACCATTCCAAGTATTATGTTATGGCACACTGTCTTGGAAAGAAATTAATTATATTTTTGTTGGTAACACATTTCAGGCTGTTTACACAGCTGACATTTCTCAGCTGTACCCAACTCATGCCCCAAGCTGTGAGGATGATCTTGTGTTGTAGCAGATGCCTCCACTTCAGTGATTTAAATAAGTATAAAGACACCGTCGCCTGCAACAATATAATTTACAAGCACCAGCTTCATGAGTTTTAATAGTCCTAATGAAAGAAAGGTTTCATGACATTTCTTTGGCTAGGATCTCCTTAGGAGACTATCATTGCAAATCACTTTTTTGTCAAAACTCGAGCACTGCAGCTAGTGGATCTGCTATGGCACCAGTTAAAAGCAGTCTGGCCCTAAACATCTTTGTTGTAGCAAATCATGTAGCTCAAGGCAACATCCTGCCAATATGGCAACATTTGCTCTTGGGAGGCGAGGGCAGGAATCATTTCACAGGTTTTGGGACAAGGTGCAAATAGGAATAATGAGGCAAAAAGAATCAAGCCTCTTAATGGAGATTCCCTCTTGTGTTTGCTGTGACTTAGATACAGCACTAGGTAACATACAGTCTTGGATATGGTGAATTTTAGTCACTTTCCTATTTTCCTGTAATAATGAAATTGCGTTAGAATGCTTAGGGAAAATGTAAATGTTAAGACAATCATTAAAACGTGAGTATCATAAAATACAGTGTCAACTCAAATCAATTATTTAACACCTAAAATGTATAAGGCACTATGCTAACAGAAGAATCCTATACAATAAAAGCGTAATATGCAAACTGACTGATTGGCAGACTGACCAGTCAGCAGGGGGGTGGGGCCAGTGAGCAGGAAGCACCAGCCAGCCAAGGCACATACCAGCAGGCAGAGGGAGGGAACAGCAATGGGGGGGGGGGGGGGTGTAGGAGGGGAGTGTTTGCCGGTGGCCAGCAGCGGCAGAGGGGCGATGGGCCAGGGAATCGGCAACATCCCGATTGGCCTGTTCAGTCATGTCCTGCAGAGGGAAGCCAAGCAGCAGTGGTAGTGTGACAGGGGCAGTACTATCCCCTGATCAGCTGGTCCAGTCACCGCCCTCAGAGGGAGGCCAGACTACAGCTTAGGACATCCCCTAAGAACTCCTGGACTGTGAGAGGGCACAGGCCAAGCTGAGGGATGTCTTCCCCCCAACCCAGTGCACGAAATTTCATGCACTGGGTCTCTAGTTTATAATATTTCACTAAATTTGCCTATCATTGTTGGAACTTGCAGCTGATAAGCCTGTTTCAATTTGTAGGATCAGAGAGCAGTTTTGGCTTTTCTAACTCCATGTAGTATGGCATTTCCAGACTTTATTACCTCACGTTCTTGCTCTTAAACCAAACAATTTTGTTTGTTTGTTTGCTTATTTATTTGTTTGCTCACTCATTCAGAGAGAGAGAGAGAGAGAGAGAGAGAGAGAGAGAGAGAGAGAGAGAGAGAGAGAAAGAGAGACATAGCAACTGCCTGCCTCCCATATGCACTTCAACCCTGGATCAAACAGGAACCTGGGTATGTGCCCTGATCAGGAATCAAACCCCCCATTTTTTTGTGTGTACAGGATGATGCTCCAACCAACTGATCCACACTGGCCAGAGCCAGACAGTTATTTTTGCTGTAAACTTTTTATTATAGAAATTTTCAATAAACTCAGTATACACATCACTCAGCTTTAACAATGATCAACTGATGGCTAATCTGAATTTGTTTATACATCCCACATCATTCCCAACCCCTATAGGTTATCTTGAAGAAAAATCTCAGATAGCATGTCATTTGCTTAAACTGGTCAATTCTTGCCTGTGATCCTTTTCTACATTATGTTAATACTAAAGGCCTGGTGCACAAAATTCGGGGGGAAGGGGGGGTAGGAGTGTCCCTCAGCCCAGCCTGTACCCTCTTCAATATGGAACCTCTCGAGGGATGTCTGACTGCCGGTTTAGGCCCGGTCCCAACTGGCAATCGTGGTCATCTTTCTCACAATCTGGGATTGCTGACTCCTAACTACTCGTCTGCCTAGCTGCCTGATTGCCCCTAACCACTCTGCCTGCCAGCCTGATCGTCTCCTAACCACTCCCCTGCAGCCCAATTGACACCTAAGTGCTCTCCTGCCAGCCTGATCACCCCCAACTGCCCTCCCCTGCAGACCTGGTCTCTCACAACTGCCCTCCCCTGCTGGCCATCTTGTGACAATGTGGGGTCGGCCATCCTGTGGTGGCCATCTTGTAATGACTTTCATTTATTGAGTTTCTACTATGAGTCAGGTATTTACACATATTATCACTAACTCTTATTAATAATGCTGCAAATTAGGTTACTGAAGCTCAGTGAATTTAAGTGACATACTTAGATCTTAATTATTTTCTTCTATTAATGTTATTTCTTGCAGTAGTTACTAGGCAATACTAATATTAATGTTATTTCTTGCAGTAGTTACTAGGCAAGAACATCTCTGGTTTATTCATGTTGAGTAAAAATAAGGTTATTATTTATGAAAACACTCTTATTTTTTCAACATTAAGTGTAATACATTTTCCGTCAAATTTCTCACTCTAAAGGGAAAAAGAAAAACAAACTAAAACCATCAACCACATTGCTACCTGTAGCTATGGACAACCAACCAATAATTCTAATGAGATACTATAATAGCAATGTCAAAATCAGTGTTTAGAATTCTAATGAGATACTATAATAGCAATGTCAAAATCAGTGTTTAGAAGTAAATGTAAATACCTACACATAAACATTTATTTTTCCTGGAAGGATACACTTTTCAAAAAGTTTTGCTATTTTCCGATTTTAAAGTTTCATGATACACAAAGCATTTCCAAAGATACAGTGTTTAGACTGTGGAGTAATTAGATTCAAGTAGCATCTACATACACAATTGTTTTAAAAAGATTTCTGACATCCACAAAAAATTCACTCATATTAAAATGTATAAAGGCAGTGCTGAGAGAGGAGGAGTAATTATTATCCAAACAGAAACACCCTATTTACTAGAAAATACAAAACTACTTTTTTGGTCTTATTTTAAAAATTAGAGTTAACTTCAGAATTCTTGAAACATTCTCATTTTGTACTTTAAAAAAGGGGGCGGGGGTGGTGGTATCTGATTAAAAACCAACATTACTATAGTAGACTGATACTTTAAAAAATAGCTGAGTTTTACAGTTAATGTTAATAGCATCTTATTCTTAAATATACCCATACTTTCCACTACTATAAAAACTGGAAGAAAAGGTTTAGTCTGGTAAAAATGACCAAAATGTAATTTTAGTTGGCCTCCTTAGATGATAAAACTTACTCTCTTAAAAAAAAAAAAAATCACTTATAAATAGGGCAGAGATAGGAAAGGTTTCAAATATATAATAGGAAAATCATTATAAGTAGATATAACAACAGGTAAAAAATAACAGACTAAACCTTTTCTTCCAGTTTTTATAGTAGTGGAAAGTATGGGTATATTTAAGAATAAGATGCTATTAACATTAACTGTAAAACTCAGCTATTTTTTAAAGTATCAGTCTACTATAGAAAATGTACTTTGAAAATTAAATATGTAACAGTTTGATTGACTTTAAGATATCTGTAATTTAGGGGAAATAATTTTGTGATTGGGACATTTCATCAGTAATAGCTGACCATATTCTTTTGATCAAGGAAAATTTTAAGTCAAATCAAGCAGCATTAGTTCCTGATATTGATACTGTAATATTATCAACAGAAAGCTGGTATACTTCACTTATGATATCTGCTCTGCAAGTTAACCCAAATTATTACAACTCTTATTTTCACATTATTTGATTTATAAATTTTTTCAGTGGAATATTCAAAGCTTTATTCGGCTTATTATCACAGTCAATTAGAATGACAGTGGCAAAAGAGAGACGAATGGTCACTTACTGAATCATCTGTGGCAGAAGCTGGCCAACCCTCCCATAACTGATGGCGTACGGGGATACTCGTAAGGTCATACACATTTCTTTTTACCTGAAGAAAGAAAGAGATACTCCAATTAAAAATAGGGTTTCCATATGACTTAGGATAATTGCCAATTTATGTGACAACATTGTATTTCCTCTGTTTTCTTCTAGATTCAAAACAAGCATTAGAAACTAGGATAACATAGTCAGAAGAAAAAAAAATTGTAATCTGCTCCGTGTTGATATTTACTGCTGTGTTGCTGATAACTACCTGAAAGAGAAGTTGGGATTGCTTCACTGGGCTGGAAAAAGTTTAGCTAAATCAGAAAGCAGGTCTAATTAAGCAAGTTTGTTCTATATCTGTGCAATACAGATAAAGCTCTCACTGGCGCCAATCGCACACATGTGTTTCCATTTGTCATTGTTGATCGATTTGATTGACACTTCTTTTAAGGAGAAATGACAAATAGCGATATTAAAATATTTCTTCTAATTAATTTCCTTGCAATATGCACGAATTCATGCACTGGGCCACTAGTATTCTAATAACTATCTATGGTGTCAGATGGAAACTAGACTTATTGGGATTATCACTTTGTAAAGAATATGACTGTTTCACCATTATGCTGCATACCCAAAACTAATCCTTTATAATAAAAGCCTAATAGGTGTCTGGTGGACCAGTAGGCTGTTCAACCAATCAAAGCGTAATATGCTAATGATATGCTAAGGCCCCTCAACCACTTGCTATGATGTGCACTGACCACCAGGGGGCAGATGCTCCAATCGGTAATTAGCTTGCTGCTGAGGCCTGTGAGATCGGGACTGGGCAAGATGGGCTGGACATGCCCTGGAGCCCTCCCACAGTTCTCCCTGGCTGGCCAACCTCCCATATCCCTCTCTGTCCCAGACAGTGCACCAGTGGGGTCCCTCCGCCTGGCCTGCACCTTCTCACAATTTGGGATGCCAAAAAGCTGGTTTTGGCTGAATCCCGCAGGCCAAGCCGCTGGTGTATGAATTCGTGCACTGGGCTTCTAGTACAAAATAATATTGAACGTAAAAATAAAAGAAGAAAACCACCGCCTGCTGCTGATTGTTTTTATATAATCCTGGATGGCTTCAAGTTTCTTTTCATTTAAGAAACTTCAGCTATATAGTACAGCTAGGACAAACTATAATTACAAATTTCTTTTTTAAAAAAAATATATTTTATTGATTTTGTACAGAGAGGAAGGGAGAGAGATAGAGAGTTAGAAACATCGATGAGAGAGAGTCATCGATCAGCTGCCTCTTGCACACCCCCTACTGGGGATATGCCCGCAACCAAGGTACATGCCCTTGACTGGAATCGAACCTGGGACCTTTCAGTCCCCAAGCTGACGCTCTATCCATTGAGCCAAACCGGTTTCGGCTATAATTACAAATTTCTTAATAATCTTATAATTTTTAAAATGGTTCAATGTAAAATAATTCAAACAAAAGATATGATTCAAGTTTCTATGTAGGAGAAAAGAGTGGGTTTTTTGAAGGGGAGGAACAGGTGAGATGAAAAAACCTCAAGTTTTCTTTATTGTTTGGTGTAAGCTTCAAAGATGTAAAAACTAATAAAACAACACAGTATTTCTTTGAAATCATCCAAATTAAAAACTATTTCAATAGAATATTTGTTAACAGGATGGCATCTACAAATACACTATTCAGTTCTTTCCTAAAAAGACAATACGGTAATGATACTTTATATTTTTTAATACTGTTAAAGATGAAAATCAATTTTCAACATGTAATATTATATCTTTCATTTTAGAAGAAGAGGTAATTTATCAGAATAAAGTGTTGGAAGATTAAATTCTGTGTTATCCACTAATTAAGAAGTATATATTTTTTCAGTTTTAAACAGGTTACGAAAATTCTATTTTGTTTCATATTTACAAATAAGATAAATTATCAAATTGTTCAGAATGGACTTAACTCTTTGGGTTAGTTATGGGATTAAACTGCTGTAACAAATGAAGCTAATATTGAATGTTGCACATAACACAGGGTGGAGCAAAAGGAAGTTCCAAATGCAAACCTTCTTTTGCTCTACTTTGTATCTTGTACAGCAAGGCTTCACTATAGAAAACAAGCAGTATTCATTTATGTTTTTAAATGTCCAATTACAGCATTTTTGTCTCACATTTCTGTTTGTTACACATAAACACATCTAAGTTACGTTTCCAGTGAAATAGAGAGATATATATTCACTGAGAAAAGAAAAAACAAAAACACAAGGTGGAACTCAATCTACTTTTTATCTCTAATGTACACCTGTGAAAAAAGACTTAGTAAATGAGAACCGAGGAGCTTGGAGGAATGGCTTGATCCCTACTCAATTCAAACAAACAACTTTTCTTCAAAGGTTATTAGCAATGGCCAGTCTACCATGCAGTATTTTGTTTATGATCAGTCACATAAAGTTTAGAAATTTTCGTTAGTCTTTATCAACACAACAGTTTAGCCAAATTCAACCTCTGTCCACATCTATTAGCTAAGACTATTTTTGTCATGCTTAAACATTAGTGTTTTTAAGGAGAAAGGTGGTCCACAAACCCAAAGTATTATAATAATAAAAGAAAAGGAAAGAAGAGAGGAGAATGAGACGACGTTAGGGCTCAAGGCCCCAAGAAATCCTTTCTTAAAGTTATTTTTCAATTATGCAATCTAGATACACCAAGCTTCATCAATTATTTTGAAAGGGGGAAAAAAGGCAGGACAAATATTTGTGTCTGTTGGAAAGGGTGCAGCAAGGCTACCCTGTATCGGATAGTATACACAAATACTATGAGTTGCATATACAAACAAATAACTCTAAGGGGATTCTTTAAATTCCACCTTAATTCCAAAACACAACAATATGGCATTATGAAATAAACAGTATTTTTTCTTCTTTCATTAACTCATTTGTAACTGCACTGAATTGAATAGCATTCCTTTGCTATTGTAAGCCCGAAAAGCATGTTCTGGCTATAGTGTTAAGTTGGTATAAAGCGCAACGCCAGACTGATGTGCTGAACAAAAGTGATCAAAGTTAGAGTAATGTTAGCCATTGCACAAGTATTTGGCTTCATTGTTCTCTCCAGAATGACATCTGTTAAGCAACTTGTCATAGAATAAACTGGCTAATGCAGACAGAATTTGGCTGAGAGGGTACAAAATAAAGCATATTAGGTTAATGTTTGTCCCAATGGAAAAGATAAATTCACAGAGACTCTGTGATTATGCCAAAAAAAAATTTTGTGTTAACCCAAAATCATTAAATAATTTAAATACAAATTACTCTTTCAAAAATAATTCCATGTTTATCAATACTCAAACGATGGGCAGATTTTAACATTATATTGATGAAATACATGTGATAAGCCTTATCAGATAAGGTAACAAAAGTACAATGTGGGCAAAGGTTTTACTAATAAAAATGCAATTTTTATTGATGGTTTTCTGTAATTAAAATTATAAGTCACAATTCTGCAGGGAAGGAAAAAATCCAAAAAGTATACAAAGAAAAAGTAAAAATTATGTTTTTAAAAAATATTAGTATCCTAGAAAACCTGAGAGACAAATTACAGCTATATATAAAAATGATGCAGAGTAATTTAAGGTTGTCATGAATCAAATGAAAGACAGAATTCTCTGAGAAAGGGAAAGAAGAATAAAGGACTAGCGGAGGGAGAGAAAGGAGGGGGAGAGAAAGAGGGAGATTGAGAGATCATTGACTGATTTGAGAGATTCAAGCGCACTTAAGAGAGGCAGAAAATACACACAGACTGGGTGCTGTAGCTGGCATGCCCAGCTGCCATTGTTGTTCCACTTCTGATGGAATTTCATCTTTAGAGATTTGTGCTAAATTCCAGTTAAGTACAAGTGGCACTTCACACGTTAACATTTCCTCAGGGCCTTTTTGTCTTACACAGTTTCTTTGATCAGCACTGACTCAAGATAATGCTGAACCTTCATAATCTTTTCAATTTTTGTTGTACATTAAGCTCTAAATCTGAGATTTCAGCATGTTAAACTATGCAAATGTTTCAATTAATTCTGTAGAAATTTAATAAATGCTTTGATTACCAGCTGAACATCAAATTTATGTTACAAACTATACTGTATTTAGATCAAGTGTTCTAGATTGACAATAGATTTTTCCAGTTTTTCTACATTTCTTAAAAAGAGAATTTTAGTTTTTACCTATTGCTTCAGATTAGACAGTTGTGATTAAGAAAAAATTAAATCAGATTAACTTGAAAGTATTAATATGGGACTGATTTACTATTTGCTTTTCATTATTGATAAAAACCTACTTATACACTATAATTACTATAAGAAACTAAGCAATGATCTCCATGTCAAACTTCATATTTCCTCATGAAAATTTCATTGATGAATACAGCACTGGGGAAAAAATCATTGTATTATGACCTGCTCAATATAAATTGTATGAAATATTTTTCCCCACAAAGTTTTGAGTTTCATAAATTTTCAAACAATTTTTATTTTTAAATGTTATCAGAATTTCTTAGAAAGAAGTCTTAGGATGTTACTTTGCTAACCTAAGTTTTGAGGCTCAGAATTAACCTCCTCTTATGAGCTGTTTGTAGCTATTGAAAGAGAAAAATATAAGACTTGTAGGTAACATTGTTAGCTTTAATAAAATCATTGCTTGTGAGCTAAATGTTGGTAAAACATTTATCCAAATGAAAACAAGTTCTGATAATAGAAAGAAAAGTCACAAAGTTTGAGGTATTGAAGCATAATGAGAGAAAAAGAAAAAGATTTCTCATTGTCCAGTTGTTACTGTGGGCAAGTTGGCAGAACCTCTCTGAGATTTACTTTATTCAAAGTTAAAAGATAATAAAATAAGATCATTTCTGATTTTCACAGCTCTAAACACCTATGATTTTATGAAAATATTGGAGTTAACCCTAGGTACAGGAGAAAAAGAGCTAAATATATATAAGATAAGCAAATAGTGAGGAAAAGTTTAAACCATTAAGGCTAGAAAATGAAAGAAAAATAATAAAGAGTTCATAAATA